AACGAGGCGTAACTTCTTCCACGTTTAGGGCTTCAAAGCGACTAGCTTCAAAAAAAAACTAGTAGCGTTTCAGCCCTAGACGTTGATTTTCCTATGCCGCTCCCTCCTCAGTGAGTCATACTGGAAGCATCATTCCAATATGTGATTTTTCCATATCCGCTGTCTACTTTCGTCTTAGCTTACCAAATGTGTATTTCTTTCAGAGATGTACGGAAATGCCGGTGGAGGAACGAACACCTCAATTAGGCACCGCCTCCGCGGACCACTGGTCCCAACACGATGCACAACAGTAGGACGAAAGGACCAGCAGCCCGCGGAGGCGATGCCTCATTGAGGCGTTCGTTCCTCTACCCGGAAATGCGCCTCTGCTAACGATTACTTGCTCAGTCACATCGGTATCGGGCTTTTTCTTAGTTGGAGCTTGACGCGGGATGAATGTAAGAGGAGGAAGTATGTGCAAAAGAAAAAAGAGTAAAAAGGGTACTCTGTACAGAGAGTTCGTAAGAGTTGCTCTCGCAAAGCGTACAGGAAAAATATAATCTGGACTCCGCGCAGCAAGATATTATTCATCTCCTCATCGCTAAAAATGTAACCAACAGAATTCATCAAATGCCTTTCTCGTTTGACGGAAGAATGTTATCTTCAAGACGTTCAAAAGTAAAGCAGTTAACAATCTTCCAGCCTTCACAGTCACAAGCAAGTAAAACCCTAGCTTTCTGAGTAATGTAACGCGGGTATACGGTAAATAAAGAATCCGATTTTCTGGACTGAGTCGGAACTAAATGTCCTTTACAAAATAGCAAAAACCAGGCTCTACTGAAGCTGTGGAAGCTTTCACGTTTCCACTGCAGTAGTGGTTTGTGATTTTAGAAATTGAGATTCCCAAATTTTTTTGGTACTTTTCCGCTATCCGGACCCATTTTTTCAACGAGGGATATTGCTTCTTCCCTTGTACCATATCTGGTCCCAACTTCACAGGAAGGAGTGTCAACCTTCCTGCCACGTGTCAAAAAATTTGACATGTCATTTACATGTTTAACAGGTTTAACCAAGCGTTTGAGATGCCCTACCTAGCGACTTAAGTTCAATCTGTTTTTCAGTCAATATTGGCCCCATTTTCGATTGAACAGTATCAAAAATGAAAATTATCATTACTTATAATAACGGGCTAAGGATGTTTACGTGACTTTGTGTATGTGTGTGTGTGTCTGAGAGCGTGTCTGTTACGAAATTCGTAGAACGTGTTCCAACCAACCTGCTGGGCTCAAATTTTGCACAGCGCATGCTACCCGCATGAAAGTCCAAAAAGCAAAATTACGAGCAGATTCATTGAGTGTATCCCTCAGAAACTATGCGTCAAACGGATCCACTTTGCATTAGAGCCGCAAAATTAGGTCCGTAAGTCCACTTTTTGCCGAGTCGTGGGTGTTTATGCCAAGTAAATGTGCAAGCCGGGAACTCAGACCCAAAAAAGTGATCAAAAGTCCATCACTTTACGAAACGGCGCCAAAAAGTATTGGTTGCGTAAATGGTCAATTTGCCAAGGTTTTACCAGACCATTTGACGAGATTTTTGCACAGAGATGTAGCTCACGGTGACTGCTATTCTGCAACTGTCAAGACCATGGAAAAATCAAAAACCTCTAAAAATTTGCGTTTTTTCTCCTGCAAAAAGTCTCATCCACTCGAAATGACCGATCTCACATAAAAAAGGTTTCGAAAGTAGTTGTTTACATTTTGTTCGTGATAGTCGGCATTGCTCGGTAAGTTTCAGTGCCATCATTATGCGAGAATGAGTAGGGCCTAGATAGTAGAGCCAGTGCGAACCTCTGCGAAGCAGAGGTGACGTACTGGTTATCATAATAACCTCGATATTTTATCAAAGAACAGATTAGACAGAAAAGTGGGCTAGGGTCCCATTATCTAAGTGACGAAACGAGCAGCAGCGAGGAACTTCAAGCCATCATGTATAGTCTTGTCTGGCTAAATTTGCATGGCGAAATGTTTGAAGAGAAAGACGATGCTGAATCATTGCTGAGAACAATCCAGATGTTCTAGTATAAGTTACAAATTGTTTTGCTCTTTCAGAAAACAATTAAACAGCTTCTAGCTGGTCGCAAGTGCTCTTTTATCTCACCAGAAATAACTTCGAAAAAAACATATCAAAATGGACCAAAACGTGTCAATATTTTCCTGACACGTGGCAGGGAGGCAGTCCTCCTGGAATCTATGAAAAATTGTTCTCAAACTGAAGAACATATTTTGTGAGTATTTTTTGAAAAAATGGGTCCGGATAACGGAAAAGTACCATTTTTTTTATAAGCTTCTAATAGCAGACCATGTGCGTCAACATAGTCCAAGGCAGGAAGTCTAGAAAATTTTTTTAGAGTTTATGCTCCCGAGTAGAGAAACAACGGGTGAAAACTTGGTTCATCAAAAAAGATTATCTCCTGGAAAATTAACCATGGGAAACTGAAGATAAGCATCGAATACATGTGTAAATGCTTTTCATTCCTTATTATACGAGGCTTTTTGGTTAATCAGAAGAATAAACGAAACTTCTGGGACAATTTGATACAAATTTTTGCTCATTTACATTTATGGAAATATAATTCCTCGGATTGTGATGCACTTCGCATGTGCTGAATAGAATCATTGAAAAAAATGCAGTCTTGAATGGAAATGGATGGGATCTTCCCATTTATTTTGACAAATGCTTACAAATGCATATTGAAAGAGGAAAGAAAGAACTAGACGCAGAATCAAAAGAGTTACGTTGGCAGATGTAGGTTCGCGGAAGATCTGGAAAAGATGATCAGTTTCTCGCATGTATTCTCTCGTAGTTAGACGTTGTTACCAGAAAAGCGTATAATATTCTATACTAGCTGGCAACCGGCTCTGTCAATAATATTTTCGCTATCAGCATCCTCACTCATCCCTCGACGCCAGCTCCCAGCCTCGTGGTGAAACTTTGCAAAATTTTTTGATAAAATCAGTAAGAAACAGTAACTACGACACCTGCCCCGTCCAAAGTGTATGTGCGCCAAGTTTGATCCGGATCGGTTTGGCAAAAAATTTCTGCTCGAAACATACGTACAGACACAAAGACATACAGACATGCAACTAAACTGTGGTAGTAATTGGTCAAAG